GTCTATTCAATGTATTTTATGAGGATATAGAAAAAGACATAAAAATCACAGTGGCACAGTTGCAAAGAATGTATAAGTTTGCATTTTAATGATAAGGAAAGCTCATGCATTGAAAACGACTGGGATAAACTTGACAGGCTGGGCAAACTGTGTTAAATAATGCTTAACACAGCAAAGGAATAATAATTGTCTGCAGCTCTAAGTTTGGCTGCATCCAGAAAAGTGATTGGAATGGATTTGTTGTGATCCTCTTCCAATGGGAAAGTCAATGCCAGGTTGTTACACTGTCAGTTGGACTTCAGCTGTCAGTCAGGTGCTCTGATTTACAAGGACAGGGTGACTCTTGGATGCTCTAGCAGAGCACGTTAAGAAGGAGTTAGTAGATGATACTATCTGTGCGCACACTTTGGTGGCCTAGCAGGTGCTGCTACAGTGCATGTGCTTCAAAACAGATGTTCGAAAGTAGAAAAGTGTTCTAAAAATACAAGCAAGGAAAAATACAGCCCGGAAATCCATTTTCTAATAAAGACTCAGTTTTCACTTCCTAGTTTGCTCAAGAATAATTTGATGGTCACCTGATTATGGTTCATAAATTATTACATAGAAGACCATTCCTCTATCAGAAAAGCAAACCAAGAAGAGTTCAACTCCATCACCAAACTAACCTACAAGTAGCTGTAGGCTGCTATTAGTTCTCCCTTTAGCTTCTTGTTGTCCTTCCTGTCTTTCCTGGGTCCTCCAGTTCCTGACCAGGTCCACCCTCAGCTGGACCCTCTCCAGCTTCCTCCCCCCTCCCGGCACAGGGTGTCCCAGATCTGGGCATAATGTTCCATGTGTGGCTGCAGCAGCTGTAAGTGGAGCAGCACAGGGACTTCCCCCTGCTCTGCAGGCCAGGGCTGTCCCAGCGCAGCCCTGGGGGCACCTGCAGGAGCTGTGATGATGAGGGTGCACCGTGGGCTCGTGCTCAGCCTGGTATGCAGATGACTGGAAGATCCTGAGGGCTGTAAAGTGAATTCACTCTCTGCAGTGAATGACCTGCCAGAAGCGCTCCCTATCTGCACGTCCACCAAGTAGAAGCTTCCAGCAGAGATGTTTTCCTGCACTTGACAATTTGCATACAGAGACAAAGTGAAATTTCAGTTTTAGTAAGTGACAGAGACCTCCACCTAGTACTAGGGCTCCTTGTTGCTAAACTAGGTAAGGGTGTGTAAGCATCCGGCGAAATTAAGGCTACGTGGTCTTTTAAAACCACTTGCTGACTTCTGGGGCCTTCAAGTTCAAATGATCCTGTGCCAACACATGCTCTAATAGAAGCAATTGTTTTTTTTTAAAATATTCAGTTTGCATGGATAACAGTTCTTTTTTCATGCAGCCTGAGAGATGCTCTTCTACGGAATGAATCTTTATTTGAGAGAAAATATTGAGTAGCAGTAGCAGATTTTCTAAAGTATGTATTTTAGAAGAAGTGTCTCTATTTCTAAGGCTAGTACATTTAAGAGGTCAAAAGCCCTGACTGTTCTTCTTTGAAAAATATTTACATTCTAAGAAGAAAAACTTTAATTAGACTATTTCTTTTTGGGAACAGTTATTTATCTATGCAGTTTGATATAATTTACAAATTTTCTACAGTTCATTGAATTAATAAATTGTAATAAAGCAAAGTGTATTAGGTCACGTTCTCCTAAGCACGGAACATCTTACCTGTATGAATAAACATTATTTGCCAATCAGGCCCTCAGTATCTTTCTCACTGTAAAACTTCTCCATAATTCAGCAATCCTCATATCAAGCACTACCTTATTTTAGCCTAATGGGACCTTCTTCTTCTGCCAAGATCTTCCCAGATCAGTGAGATTTTATACAACACAAACTGCTTACTTCTTTTTAAAATCCCCAGGGGTCACAAATTAAGGCTGTAGCACAGACGCTTATTCTTGATTCCCATTGACAACATCTCACCATTTATGGAAAGATCAGTCTACCAAAGGTCCAAATATCTTCTATAAAACTAGCCAGTAGCTCTACAAAATACCCAGCTAAAACAAAATTGAAAATGCTTTTAGAGAGAAACCATGTGCACCTAACTCTCACCAATGCTATGTTAATGGGTTTTTTTGTTTTGGGAATGTACATCTGGAAACTGATGTCTCCAACTATCAGGTCCATTCCTCTGCTATTACAGTCATCATGTAATATCCTAGCATAAACACTGGCAAGTC